CGCCCGCGCCGACGCCCGCGCCGACGGTCGACCCCACGGCCGAGCCCACGCTCGACCCCACGGCCGCGCCGACGGCTTCCACGTGCGCCGCGAACGAGTGGTTGGTCTGCGAAAAGTACGTCTGCCTCGAGTGCCCGACCGGCTTCGCGTGCGACGGCATCGACGCGACGTTCTCTCCGACGGACCTGAACGAGCTCCAGATCGCGGTCAACGGGTGGATCGACGACGCGACGAGCGCGGAAGCCAAGTACGGGCACATCAGCTCCTGGGACACGTCGTCCGTGAGGGACATGAGCTCCATGTTCGTAGACGCTTTAGCCTTCGACCAAGACATCGGCGCCTGGGACACGTCGTCCGTCACGGACATGAACTACATGTTCTTCGGTGCTGTCGCCTTCGACCAGGACGTCGGCGCCTGGGACACGTCGGCCGTGGCTGACATGAGCTCCATGTTCTCCTTTGCTTACACCTTCGACCAGGACATCGGCGGCTGGGACACGTCGGCCGTGACGGACATGAGCGAGAAGTTCCTCTTTGCTTCCAACTTCAACCAGGACATCGGCGGCTGGGACACGTCGTCCGTGACGGACATGGTGGACATGTTCTTCGACTCGGGTCTTCAGGATTGCCCGTCCTGGGCCGACGAGACCGCGCAATGCCCCCATGCTAACTAGGGCGCACCTCCCGAGGTCGACGACTTCAAGCTCACTCGCCGGTCGCCTCCCCCCCCTCACCCCGCCCACACCCCTAAGACCACACCACACACGACCGACGTTCCGCCACCGGCGCCGTTCGCCGGCGACTCGCCCTCCTGGAGCGCGGAGACGTCGCCACTCGAGCCCGGCCGCTCGAGATGCCGCCGCGCCCGCGACGTCCATCCGCCGTCGAGTTGAGCACGCCGACGCGCCTCGACGGGTCGCAGATGCGCCGCTGCGCCTCGGAATCCGCGTTCGACCCGCCGACGAGCGCGGGCATCTCCGTCGCCGCGCGGACCGAGATGCTCCAGCGCCGCCCGTCGGAACGCGCGCGGCAAGAGCCGGCGTCCATCGTTCGCCGGCTCTCGACCCACAGCGTCGCGATGGCGACGCGCGGCGGCGCGCGCTTGACGAGCCGCACGGACGATCCGCGGCGTCATCGGGCACTCTCTCTAGGACGCGTCGCTCAACTGCCACAAGTCGCGGAAAAATTTACGCGCCGCGCTTCGGGTCCGCGCCCGCGAAGATCCAGTGCTTGACGGCGAGGGAGCTGCCGCGCCGCACGGGCGCGCGCGCGTGGTAGGCGAGCTTCGAGCGCCAGAGGACGAGCGTGTCCGGCGTCGGGTCC